CGAAACCTTAGTTCTCTGTGGGATTCGACTCCGGACTTTTAGATCGGATTATATTTGCAGCGACCGCTTATCCTTTTTAGGACTAGAGTTGGGCGTGAACCGGGTGTAGTTAGTTTTTTTTAGGAATATGAGCCATTGTGCTGTGTTTTGAATTGAAGCAATATCTCTTGACTTTGTTATGCCTTGAGAATAGTAAGTACTTTGGTTATGACGTTTAGGCTCAGTTTTTGACTCTTATATAAGTACCTTAAATTGTATGATTTTAATTTTGCTTAACTGCTTTGACTAGAGTATCTTGATGAAACCAATCCTGAGTGAGTTATGTGCCATGTGTGTGTAAGGATTTGTTATATTCTATGCATTGCATTTGATGCCTAGAACTTGCCATGTGTGTTTGCAAAGCGAAATAGTAGTTTTGTTCAGTTTTGGAAGTGATATAGGCGTTTCTTTGTTGAGCCAGATATGTATATTTTACCCACCTAATTGTTATCTATCGTAGTTAACCCCTTTGAGTCTGTAATCTTGTTTCTTTGGCAACCACATTACAAGCCTTACCCATTTGTTTGAATTAACCATCTATTTGAACCTTTTCACCTCTCATGAGCACTTGAATTGTTATGAACTTTGTAAAAGTTAAAGTGTGGGGTGGTTGGTTTGGCTTTTGAGTGGAACCAATTTAATAAGGAGAAAGGTGCACTGTTTTGAAAAAGGAAGAGCCACTTGAATTGAAAAAAAAATAGTTGGATTGTTGTGGAAAAAAAAATTCCTTGATAAGTGGTGGCTCTTGACGTAAGTGTGCTTAAAGAAGAATCGGGTAATTTACATTGATGTGAAGGTGGAGTTTTGGTTTGACATAAGGATGGGGTTTAAATGTTAAAATGTATGTATTAAAGTGCTTAGGGAGGTGTAGTCATTCCTATATCTAAATGTATCCTACCTGTCCCGTAGCCTACATTACAACCAAATAAAGTCCTAATTGATCCAAGATTGAATGAGCTCGATTAGTGGAGTAGTACACTACGGGGAAGCTTATGGTGCATCTTTTGTGGCATATGAATGTTATTTCTGAGAGTGAGTGAATTCTTTCTATCTTGAGTTCCTAAGTGTTCTTAAATTTTATTGTGTGGAACTACTCTCTTTTGTTGTGTGAGGGCACTTGATTCATGAAGGAAAGGTAATGTCAGTGACCTCTATGTTAGAGTAAGTAGGTGAGTTGTGAATAATGCGTGGTACTTATGAGTCAAATCTTGAGGTGAAGATGTTACGCTTTTGTGCTTAGTCTATTTTAAATACTCTTGGTGTGATGCGTTAGGAGAATTGTTTAAAAATGTCGTGTCTATAAAAAAAGTGTAGTTTGATTGCTCGAGGACGAGCAATGGTTTAAGTGTGGGGTGTTGATGATAGGCTATAATTACGTATTTTAGTCGATTATTACACTCTAATTTACTGTACTTTAGTTGAGTTTGCACTTTAATCGCTAGTGTTTTGCACTAACGGTGTGTTTTATGCCTTGTAGGAGTGATTCCGAGCTATATAGATGTTATAGAATGAAATCAAGTGATTTAGAGCTTTGAAGTCTGAGTAAGAGCTCAAGGAATTAAGCCGGGATCGGGTTCGGGGGTCAAATTTGATAATTAAGTACGAACGAAGACTCGAGGAGGCATATTGCGCACTGTCTAGTAAAATAGACATAACTTTTTGCTCAAAACTCCATTTGGGCTCCAAATATGGTTGGAAAGTTAACTCAAAGAGCTATAACTTTCCATGTTTTACGTTTTTTCAAATTTTAAACGGAACAGGGTGAAAAATGCGGTAGAAACCGCGACTGCGGGGCTGAGGCAGTATATACCGCGGTTGACCGCAGTTTACCGCGGCCGCGACTGTCCAGACGTGAAAAAATTATCCTTTTTCGCGTAGGAGAAGGTATAATAGCTTGTGCCCGATCCTACTTGGTATATATACATGGAAAAACGGTATTTTAAGGAGTTGGACACACTTTTGACATAATTTAGACCTAAGGAGGCTAAGGACACCGGAGATTCGACCTAAGGAGTCAAGAACACAATAGGAGCAAGGTGCGGAATTCTTCAACGAGTTTTTCCTTCTTCTTCCTATTTTTCATTGTTGGTTATGAATTTTAGTATTGTAGTTTTACATACTATTATGAATAACTAATTTGTTATCTAGGGTTCTGATGAACCTTTTGTAGGATAAATTCTTGTTATGTTTTTATATAATTGAGCCATAGTATTTTCTCTACTTGTTCAACTACGTGTTTGTTGTAGTTAATTGACAGGATCCTCAATTAGCTGTGCCTATTTAGTGTGCATAACTCGGGAGAGAGTGCATATTTAGGTAGTTGTTGAACAACATCACTCCCAAAGTATAAGAGGGATCTATAACTGCGGGTTTAAAGGTGGGATTAGGGATAACGAAGCCTTGGGTGCAATCTAAAGTGAGCTGTAATAAACAAAGCCAGCTAGCGTAACTCGGGAGAGTGCGTCTAGTAAATTGTGGTAATTACTCGGGAGAGAGTTACGACAGTCAGAGCGCTCATGATCGGTAGAGAATACTTAGGCGAATTTATAGAAAACGTAGCGGGAAGGATTCCGACAATTGGGGAAATCATAACTCTAGACCTCCTTAATTTAGTCTCCAAACTTTTGTCTCGTTAGTTGATAATTTTACCGTTTTATAGTATTTGTTGGTTAATTAGTTAGATATAAAAATCTTAATATTATAATTTAGAAATTGTTCAAACTTGTCTTTTTTGTGATATTGAACAATTACAGCGAAACCTTAGTTCTCAGTGGGATTCGACTCCGGACTTTTAGACCGGATTATATTTGCAGCGACCGCTTATCCTTTTTAGGACTAGAGTTAGGCGTGATCATCTATGGTACGCTTACAGCATATAGACAAATCGGTTTCAAATAAACTTCTTGATAAAGAAGATGAGCAAATGATCTAAATGATCATAACAAAGGAGGCAAGTGATCTAGAAGATCACATGACATAACACTTCATAAAATCTCAGGAGAGATTCAGGTACCTGAAAATATAAATGAAGAGATCTCTATGTTATGTCTTTATGAAAAAAAGGAGGCTGGAACCGATATAAAATATTCGTCAACGACATCTATGAAAGCGCTAAGTATAGATGAGAATTTTAAGTCTGTCAAATACAGACACAAAAATATTGGCCAAATAGAAGAGACACAATTCAAATAGAATTGGTTTCATATGAAAGACATGTAGTTCAAACACTTGAAAGTATAAAGTCAATGGTATGTGCAATCAGTTTTCGATATCTTATATGTCTAGCATGACATGAAAACTTGATATGCATCTAAAGTCTATTATATGGCTTATATGACTTAACAATCCCTGAAGGATTTAAATTGCTTAAAGCATATAGAATTCATGGTCATGAAGTACTACATCCTCAGTGCAATTTGTGCACAAATGTATCTTGTTGTAACTATATGCATGATAGTATGATAGCAAGAGTTTTCACCTTTATGTGAAGATATTGAATTGACGATTCCAACAAGATCATATGAAGACAATTCATCTCTATCAAGAATGATGATTTCAAGGTGCAATATAGTCATTCAAGTTTATATGGTTGATTTGTTCATCAAATCTCTACCAATGATCTTTTGAAGATGGTGCACAAGATTGGAATGCAAATGCTCAAGGGTGTGAAGTCATGCTCTCATCAGGGGGAGTTAAGGACAAAAATCCGAAAATATTCCAGCATAATATGCTGGATTTCGATATTTTTACATATGAGCTTCCAGCATAATATGCTGGAATTTTATAATGATGTTGGAGTTTCATCATAATATGCTGGAAGTTTATATGCAAGAGCTCCATAATCCCGTAAATTATACTGGAATTTTTCGTGCGCTGAAATTTCAACATAATACGCTGGAAGTTTATACGCATGAGCTCTATAATCCAGCGTATTATGCTGGAACTTTCTGTGTTTCAGCAAAATAGTGGCTATTATTTATTGATTTTGTAAAAGCTGGCTATTTTTCAATTACCAGTCCAAAAACTAGTCAGCCCGTGTTATTTTTGTTAAATTGTTGTTTTACGGTCGGTTAATTTGAAGAGGAATTTTCAAAAACTACTATTGTTTAGTGGATATTAACTTCCTATAGCTACCATATACATAATTACTTCATAGAGCTACTATTAAGTTGTTACGATAGTGTATTCGATGTATTCGCGCTGCTATATTCATGAATACAACATGAAAAAACGACAAAAAACCAGGACAATCCAGCTATACGCGCATGTATTCACATGTATTCGCGCCATGTATTCATGAATACAGCAGCAAAAAATGCCTAAAATCAGGGCAGTCCAGCTGTACGCGCATGCATTCACATATATTCGCGCCATGTATTCATGAATACAGCAGCAAAAAGCGCCTAAAATCAAGGCGCGCAGTCCAGCTGTACGCGCATGTAGTTGCATGTATTCGCGCTGCTGTATTCATGAATACAGCAGTAAGAAACGCCTAAAATCAGGGCAGCTGTGCGCTAATGTATTCACATGTATTCGCGCCATCTATTCATGAATACAGTAACGACAATCACCTTAAAAATAGGTATGTCGAGTTGTCTAAGAGAGATGAAAAACATAAATAGCATGTTTCATGCCTCAATGATAGTATATACCATAAATAGTTATTTTGCTATAAAATATAAAAGGTAACTATAAAAAATAATATTTTAAAATAATTCTGATTTATAATAAATAGGGCGTATACCTATAGCAAAATTTCCTAATTTGAACTTTCACTTTTTTTTTAGGTAAAATGTCAATTTTCTAGTACAGTATTAGTGGGTTTTGCCTTGTAAGCCAGGGCCCAGGCCCAATGCCTACCAAACAGAAAATGACGTTTACGCTTTGGAGGGAAAATCTAAAAAGAATTTCAAACCGCACACATTACGACAAACCACCGCAAAATATGTCCCATTTGTACTCCAATTCATTTTAATTCGAACAAAAATAAGTCAAAACAGAATCTTTTAATTTAATTAAATCTGATTATTAGAAAGTTGACATCTAATTAACTCCTTAATTACCCATTTCTCTGCTCCTTTTCCATTGTATTCTCCGAAATCCAAACCCTTGTTCAACAATCCAATTTAGGGTTTGGTGAAATTGGGAGAAATGTCACTGTCACAGAGCAGCAGTAGCGACAGTAGTCGAAGTGCGGCGGCGGCGGCGGGGCCGGACTTTCATCTTTCCGATGAAATACTATCGGTTATTCCGACGGACCCGTACGAGCAGTTGGATTTAGCTAGGAAGATTACTTCCATGGCCATAGCTTCTCGTATTACGAAGCTAGAGTCGGAAATGGGGAGGCTTCGGCAGAAACTTCATGATAAGGATCGGGTTATCCTTGACCTCCAGGATAAAGTCTCTCGGCTCGAGCAGGCTTGTCAGGAAACTGAATTACGGTTAAAATTCACTTGCGAAGATAATGTAAGCTTTATATTAGCTTGTCTTTCATTTCTACCTTTGCATTTGTTTAGGATGAAAAGGACTTAATCTTCCTTTTTTGGTGAATAAAAGGTGAAGCTTTCGAAGGAGAGGGATTCGTTGGCTTTGACAGCGAAGAAAATGGGTCGAGATTTAGCAAAGGTGATAAATTAGTCACTGCTTCCCTGTTATATATTTCTAAGTTTTTTACCCTGGCGGAGGCAAAAAATAGTCGTTGATTTCTTCCCATCCGCCTAAGCCTTGGTGGGTTGTGCTGGTAGAAGGTAGTAGGTAGCTGGTGGAATTGTCTAGGTTGGCGCAAGCTGGCCTGGATACCGCTGCAATAAAAAAGGGTTTTGTAGTTGAGTTCTACTGATGGATTATTGGAATTTGTGTTTTGGATATAGAAGATAATCTTATCTAAGACAGGAACTTGAACGTTGTTTCATGACCTTTCTTTGGAGGTTTATGCTTTGATTAGTCTTGGGCTAATGCTACTGCTTAGCACTCCCTTTGTCCCGCTTTATAGGATGGTGTTTGACTACATTGAGCTGAACATGTTAATTTGGCGTATATTTTATATTAATGATAGTGAAGAGAACATTATTGTAATAGCTGAAAAGCTAATTTGATTGAAATAACATCACATCAAGATTTAAAGTTTGTGTATGTAAATAAATTTGAATTCTTTGTTGAAAGTTACAGAGTACACTATAATTATTTGAATGTTTTCAAACATTTTGGGATGTCCTAAAATGAAAACACTTGTGAACTGGGAAAATGGGAGATTGTTTTCTGGGTAATATACCAACTCTTTGGAAGATATATTTGCTTTTCAAATTGATTAATATGAAACCTGTCGCTGACAACTAGTAGATTGATTTTCTATGCTGTTGTGCCCCTAAAGTTATTTTTAAGCAAGATTTAATACATCGAGTTCCACCTAATTGGTTGAACTTTGAAGTCCCTTTTTCCAATGTGTTGGACTTCCTCCCCCTTTTTTGATATGCATTGCTGAAAGCACTCTTTTCTTTTTTTATGAAATTTGAAGTTACCTAACTAGGTTATACAAGCTTAGAGCTTTTGATAAATTCAGAGTGTCTCAACAGGCTGAGGTTTCAGTCTTGAGCTAAAACTGTAGGCTCAACAATATGAAGAGTGGACATGGGTTATGAGAAAAGGCTCAACAGCTTAAGAAACATCTGTGGATGAAAGAGAGTAGGCTACTATTGGACTAGAGAATTGCTATCAATTATACTTCCGCTATGTACGAAACCATGTGCGAAGGGTTTGATCAACACTTTGGTCATTCTCTTAGAGATCATTAATTACATTAGAGTAAGAAATGGGCATAAATTGACTTATATAATTAGGAATGTCCATCTCTGAGATAGAGTGATTCAGGTAATTTTATGCTCTTCGTAAATGCGGCCATATTCAAAGATTGGTGTGGGAGCTGATAGACCTTCCACTAACAATGGCTCAATTCTTGTTTAAGTTCATGTTGATTACCCATGTCAACTTCCATATCTCTACCTTGCGATTAGAAAGCGGTCTCGCCTTCTGATTGTCTTAGTACTTCATTGATAGCCGCTTCTGATGACAGAGTCAACATATAATAGGAGAAAGAGATTTATCAATGTACCCCCAACCTGACAAAAGTTGTTTCCATGGCTCGATTGTTTGACTAAAACTCCTGTTATAGCTTCTGTCTCTGCTATATCATTTATTGAATACTTTGATTGCAACAGCATTAACTTGCTTTCTTTATTTGACAGTTGGAGACTTTTAAAAGGCAGTTGGTGCAGTCTCTGAGTGATGAGAATTCATCGGTAAGATTTCAGAATCTTAATCACTTAGCATTTCATTTTTTGAAAATCATTAAGAGGGTAACTTAAACTTTCTAAAAGAATTTTGTGGCGGAACTCTATTTTCCGATTGCTTGTACCAGTAGAGCAAGAGTTTTTTCTTTTTCGATTTTGTGCTTCTGCTGATTAAATTGCAAACCTCGTTTCTGCATCTTCAGCCAGCTGAAACTGTTGATATCGGCACTTACGACCAATCGGCTCATAGAGCCTATTCCATAAAGGGTAAGTCTTGGCTTCATTTTCTATGTATTCCTTCTGATGTTTCCATCTGATTATATTCAAGATTTATGTCACAGTTTGGATGCCTCAAGATATGGAGTTCTGTCTTTGATGTTTTAAATTTGGTCTTGATAATTATATCCTGCAGAGGAGGCGAACAGCTATGCAGTACACCGTTCTTTCGGCGGTTCTTTAGACAGCACAGTAGTTAATGATGATGGTATTCATACATTACTTTGTCTGCTTCTTATAATATCACAATGTAGCAAAGCTTGTTTAACTTTTGTTCCATTTTCTTGGATACAGCCTCAAAGCGAGCTGTGCAAAGATTTTCCATGACACCTTACATAACACCGCGTCTGACTCCAACTGGAACTCCCAAAATAATTTCCACTAGTGTATCTCCTAGAAGATATTCTGTTGCGGGTTCTCCTCAGAGGACATCCGGCGCCAACTCTCCAACAAACCCTCAATATGACGGCCGAGGTTCAATGTCATCTTTTTTCCCATCAAGTCAACAGTCATCAGCAGCTAACTCTCCTCCTAAGGCACGCCCATTGCCAGGTTTCTGACGACTCATTTTACAGTTTTCTTTTTTTTTTTGAGCTGTGCACATTTTACTGCTATCTGCTCTATTGCACTTCGATTTTTGCACATTTACCAAGTCATTCTTGCTTGAGAAATAAAATGGTGATTTTGACATAAATGTTGGTCAACTACTGATCAGCCAGCTTTTTAACTTTTTTCAATTTATATATCCATTTTGACAAATTATGTTACTGACTGGTTTACGTATGATCCTTCTGATCCGTTTTTCCATATTGTGAATTACCAGCTCAAACTCCTCGAATTGATGGGAAGGAGTTCTTCCGTCAAGCTAGGTGGATGGCTAACTACTTTCTTTCAGTTAAGCTTTTTGGTAAGGATCTTTCACCTGACAGTATCTGCATGTTGTTGATGCAGGAGTCGTCTATCCTATGAACAGTTCAGTGCATTTCTGGCCAACATTAAGGAATTAAATGCACACAAGCAATCTCGTGAGGTGATGAACCTAATTAGTTGCTTTTTCATCCAATGAAGTCCTCCTATTTGTCTACTCATTATCTGAATGCTTTCTCCTGTAGGAAACTTTGAAAAAAGCAGAAGATATTTTCGGAATGGATAACAAAGATCTTTATCTGTCATTCCAAGGTTTGCTTAACCGTAGTAGTCGGTGAAAGCAACAGAGTAAGCACAGGTATGTGTGATTTACCATCTTGTTTTTGCTCATAAAATTTATGGAGACATTCATGTTTCGTGTCTGATTGTTTTTGCATGTGTCTAAAGTTGACTGAAGTCTGTGAAATTTTCAGAGATATCATCCAACTTGGTACAAGCACTACAAACCGAATCAGCAATTAGAGATCTTCCTCGCTGCAGAAAAGTTCTCAGGAATTGCAGTCAATAAGGACGGTGCAGAGTATGCTCTAGCTGAATGATTGATATCAAGTTTCATATTTTCACAATTTCATAAGACACATTCTGTAAATTATTGCCTTCTTTTCTGTATCATAGCCCCACATCTGAAAGCAGTGGGAGCATGAGATGATAATTAATTGAATGATTTTTCCATTCCATCTCTTGATCCCCAAACCCGTCTTTCACACACACACGCACGCGCGCACACACACACACACACAATCTGCAGCAATCTTATATCTAACATATATGCCCCTAATTTCAGAACATATAGCCCAAATATTAGTCCCATGGCAACATGCACACATGATGGTCTTTGAAATATTTCGGAAACAACCTTTTAAAATAAAATATACACATTTGCTAGTAATAGGATTGCAGCCTGTTTTCAGTTGTGAATAATATTCATCTAAGCATTAATTTTGTTAAAGATAATGCATAGAGATATACTGTAATGTGTAATGTGTGAGCTGAAGAGAGAAATTGGGTGTTCGAATTTAGAAAGTAGGGATTGAAATTAGAAAGAGGAATTGGGTTAGTCTATATAATAAGGGATGGTCGGAATAAATAAAGCCACGTGAAGAACAACAGCCCAATAAGTAAGGCACCTGCATAGCCACACGTAGATAATAAAGGGTGCAGATTTAATCTCAGAAATCATAATCGGACAGCTATCATTGGACGGAGGTTACAATTAGTTGGGCTATTTGTAACCTCCGTTACAATCGACAGTCTTGCAATCCTCCGTTACAATTGACAACGTGCACAACGTGCATCCTTTGTGCTTCTCATCTATTCAGTGAAGTTAAATTTTTTATCCTACAACAACAACAACATATCCAGTGTAAAAGGTCGTCCTCGGTTGTCTAGCTTCCTGAAGCTCAAAAGTCATTCCCATCATGTTGGTTATTGTGTTGCTGCGTGGCATCCTACTGTTTGATTTATTCATAAAAATCTGAGCCGTGAAATCTGTCACCAATGCTTGCATCAGGGTTGGCTGCCTACATCACACCCCCGGGGTGTGGCCCTTCCTCTGACCCTGCGTGAACGCGGGATACTTTGTGCACCGAATCACCCTCATCCTCCGTTGCAGGTGTTAACGGAGCTTGAAGATTAACAACTGTCGATTATAGGTTCTACATTGTGATCGATTGTTGAATTCTCAAACAATTGTACTATTTTTACACTTTAATAAAATTCCCCAATTCCTCGATTTTCATTTCTCTTTCAAATTCAATTTTAAGACCTACAACTGGTATCTGAGCCATCTCCTGGCCCAACAACAGACATGACAGTAACTGAAACAAGGTCCGAAACAATGGAGGACAATGTGAAGAAGCTTGAGACTCAGTTACAACATCACATAGTTGAAGCTAGCAGAAAATCAGAAACTACTGATGCAAAAATTGACGATTTAGCCAAAAAGCTAGATTTCTTGATGGAGAAGTTGCTTCCCAGTCAGCCGGACATCTTAGGTAGTGCTCCCATGGAGAGTCATCACCTTGAAGTCCCATGTGGCAGAGTTGGGGGAAACCATGCTACAGCTGCTGTGATAATAGAGAGACCTGTAGCTCCCCTTATTCTTCCGAAATCGGATTTCGACGTGTGACAACTCTTTTAAATGGGTATCAAAAGAGAAGAATCGCCACCTAACGATTTTTAAGATGCGTTAGAGAACCTATTTGCGAATAACTCTGTTTGACTAGTCAACGCCACCAAAGATCGGGTAAAAGCTCAAATTACCTCGGAGAGAAGGTGTTAGGTACTCTCCGAGGTCCACAACTGTGGTTCCTGGCCGAATTTTAAACTATGTTGATTATGTAATTAGGCTAAGTGATCAAATAAATAAGGAGAGGTTAGAAGTTAAAAAGTCTTATTATAACATATGAGAATCGGTACAAATCTTAATATGACTACAAGGATACAACTACATTGATCTATATTAAACGACTAAGTATGGATATCAAGTATATAAAAGAAAGGGGGCTCCTAAGTTTTTTAGCCTAAAGGATCACCCTGTGCAACATAAATAGTACTTCGCAACTTCCTTTAGGTAGTAGTTGCTCATATTATTCAGCGGGCACAGACTATCATCTCCTGTTACCTGATTACTATGTTGAAGTTGTTTACCTAAAAGTATTCTAATTCAATTCTAGGTCGTACCCTATGCGTGCACTACCCGTCCCATTCCTATGGTCCAGGAGGCTTTGGACTCTATTTGGGTGGTTCTAGACTCTACTTAGGATGCTCAAAATGATAAAAACTAGGCGACATTCAAAATAGGTAGGACTGCACATAATAGCAATGAAAGGCTCAAGTTAGCCTCCACACATAAGCACAAAAACATGCGACCAGTCACAGATTTTTAGATTGGGCAGTACATGATGTTAATCGTTAAGTCCTATAGGAAGGATTTCTATGTGATTCTGATTTCCGGTATCATATAAGCAGCGTATAGGCAGGTTAAAACATTGCAAGTCCTATAGGTATGATTTCCAATTGTTTACACGATGAAGCAGTGAAGTGACCAAATTACTAATGCTGATTTTATAAGTGTGCACCTTAGGTAGACGTTAATGTCCTATAGGCATGTTCCTAACAGTTGCATGATTAGACAGTGAGACATCTTTAGGAGTCTAGTATTAACACGTTGATCTTATAAATAGTTCTTACGCGCAACAACATCCTATAGGCAGGATTTCTAATAATTGACAATTAAGTTGATTTATAACACTTTATTCCTATAAACGTCATCTAGGCGGGACAGTGTACTAAAGTAATAGAAGCAATTTAACCAATTGATTATTTGGAGCCCTATAAGCATGGTATCTAGATTAGTAAGGCCTGTGCTATTACATCCTATAGGCATGTTGTCTAGGTGTGCACAGTAGTAACATAGAAATGAGCGTGTTTGAACAATATACCAGTAAGGTGTGCATAATTCCCTATAGGCATGATCTCTATTAGCGTGTGATATTCCAAACAAGATAACAAGCAAGGCATGCTGAATAAAATAGCAAATGTAACACACAGATCCTATAGGTAAGTTTCTACCCTTTCATGCAAATATTAGAATTCCCCAACTCCTTTTCACTAGCACCCCAATTGTTTATTTACAAATTATTACAGGCCCAAGAATGAGATAATAAAGTCTTGAAAATAACAAAACATAAGCTGAATTGAATACAAGCCCTCTAAAGCAATTACAGGCCCAGTACAAAAGTAACCTAGGGATATCCCAGTCCTTCAATAGTCTTACTCTCTGGAAAAACAACAGGCCCAAACCACAGGCTCACAAGACAATCAGAGTGCACCTGAATCTAGTGCCCCAGGTCCAACAACGCACATGGCCCAACTCCAGGCCCAATGAATAACTTACTTACCCAAATGGATGCTAAATTTAGCAAGTGACACAATACTCATAAAACAACTTAAACACTTAGTTCGTATAGATGTAACGATCAACACTTCTAGCCAAGACACATAAATAGGATCATATTAAATAGAAAGGCACACAAGACATATATGAGGCACGCCTATATTTGTAATTCCAGAAACAGAGTTTGATAGTGACAAGATTGAGCATCATAGGACAACAAACCATTTCAAAGAGTTTCAAAGTAAAGCATGATCCAGAAACAACCTAAAGACCTTTAGCTAATAGTCTAACAGAATCATGAACAAGGAGCAGGTAGAGTACAATCTTTATATGAAAGTTTTAACATGAGAACCTAATGAGAATGTGGTTGCAAACAGCATAACAACATGCTAGTGGGCACAATTCGACAAACCTAGCACTTAACTTATCATGAGGGACATTAACCATAGCACAAAAATTCTAAAGAACTCATAATAGGTAAACGAACATGTTAACAGGACAAACAAACATTGAGATTCATGTCAGTCGAACTCACGTGAGAGAGAACTACACATTGGTATCTATCCTAGAAGCAATGCTAAGAGTGCAGGATTGACAGGTCAAGGGACAAAATCATCAGTGTTACAAATCGTAGACAAACATGCTTGACTATATACAAAAGACAATGTTATAACATAGGAGAGTCAAGAATCACTTTGTAAGAAATAGTAGATTAGTAGGAGGAGATTCATTAAAGCATATTCTGAGCAAATAATTTCTACAAGGATCCCAGAAGGCATGAATGTGAACTCATAACGAGCAAAGGACATGGAAATTAAGGCTAAGAGCATGACCATTCAGGCAAAACTTAAGAAGGCCAGAAACTACTTGAATCAAATACGTAGAGTGAAGGTCTACTACACATGTTCAAACCTATCAAATTCGATACTAGAGAACATGAAACTGCAGAACATCATTAAGACAATAGAATTACAGAAAGCATACGACAATATAATGTTGAGAGTTCACAAATAACAAAGAAGCTTTAAGGCATGCTTGTCTAAAAGTTCAAACAGTGTTGGGATACAGAATACACATACATGAACAAGTAAAGGAGTAATAGTTAAGGCTATAAGGGTCAAGAATGCTAACCAGCTGTGAAGATAACGAGCAGAAGAGTGAGTAACTCAGAATCTTAGTAGTGACGGCAAAAGAGAGACAACAGTAAGAACCCTCAAATCCTAGTGCGTCAGAATTCACAGGAGCTTCAGTGAGCCAAGAGTAGTGCTCGCACTAGGGAGGTTAATAGAGAAGATTCCAGTGGCCTTGGCTTTCAGCCGGCCACAATCAAGAGAGAGCAAAAATAATTAGAAGGTGAAAGTAAGAGATCAACAGTAGTTGTTAAGCGATTCCAGTCTGTTCAAAGGGAATTAGGGGAGGGGTTTATATAGTGGTAAAATCAGGCAGATAAACAAGGAAAGAAACCAAGTAAACATGAACAAAAAGAGTAAAATCTCACATGCAAGTCAGTAGATTAACCGGAAAGGAAAGAAATCAAACTCCAAACCCTAGTTAGGGTTTAAAACTCAAAATCGGCCAACTGGTATGAAGAAATCAAGCTTTTCTTTGTGTATATAGACGAGATTTTGTCCAAATCTCCAAGATTGAGTTGAATGGGCACGATTCTGAGAGATAGTACTTTCCAAGTTTAGGCAAGTACTAAGTAACGTCATTGTCGCGTAGATACTGAAGCGCCAACACAAATAAGGAAGATGAATAATAAGGGGATCCCATTATCTA